ATCGCACGACTAAATGGTCCCATCTCTCTATCTCATTTATCTCATGACTAAATGGTCCCATCTCTCTATCTCACTTATCTCACGACTAAATGGTCCCATCTCTCTATCTCACTTATCTCATGACTAAATGGTCCCATCTCTCTATCTCACTTATCTCATGACTAAATGGTCCCATCTCTCTATCTCACTAATCTCATGACTAAATGGTCCCATCTCTCTAGCTCACTAATCTCATGACTAAATGGTTCCATCTCTCTATCTCACTTATCTCATGACTAAATGCCCTGGGAATGTGTGCATGGATTTGGAGTCCTTTCGACCACCAGGAATATTTCTGGACCTGTGAAAATCGAAGATGATTTTCGGTCTCTTTGTTTATTGCGTACAATGTTAGAAGAACGTACAAGTTTGTCTTGAGTATCTCGGTAGTTCTGCTGGAATGTTGTGAATGTACATGATGTATGTCTCATATCCCTCTCTAGAATGTACACATATGTCTTGAGTATCTCGGTAGTTCTGCCGGAATGTTGTACATATATATCTCGTATCCCTCTCAGCCCGGGTTGACCCTTGTTATACTCCTGTGTATATGATTGAGAAATAGCTGATAACACAGAGAGGTCAAGAGAGACGGGTTTAATGAACTGTTGATTAATTCGTTGAGCACTGCTGTACAACTCTTCAGAACTGTTTTTAGACTGCTGGACTTTCGTAATAACCCATGTTCGCATTACAATGTATAACACATTATTAAAATTACAAGTATGTAAGAGCTCTGACTACCACAGCAGCGACACGTTGTTGATCTGTCTCGAGGTGTTGGTGATGATGATGTGTGTGTCATGAGTGTGTTGTCACTGACAGCGATGATGATAACGATGATGTGTGTGTCATGAGTGTGTTGTCACTGACAGCGATGATGTGTGTGTCATGAGAGTGTTGTCACTGACAGCGATGATGTGTGTGTCATGAGAGTTTGTGTTGTCACTGACAGCGATGATGTGTGTGTCATGAGAGTGTGTGTTGTCACTGACAGCGATGATGTGTGTGTCATGAGAGTGTTGTCACTGACAGCGATGATGTGTGTGTCATGAAAGTGTTGTCACTGACAGCGATGATGTGTGTGTCATGAGAGTGTTGTCA